CCAGCACACCACCTGCTGGCCCAGAACTTGTGGTTTTACAAAAACCTACTATTTCTCTTCTCCAAACTCATACTCCTCCATCTAGACTCATCATCTGGCAGTCAAAAACATTTCCTTTAATAGCTCACTCTTTGCCCTCTTAGTTTCCAAAGAATAATCATAAATTCCTATTAGGAATATAGAGTCATTGAAGAATTTCAGGCATGTGTGTAACATGATCAGTTTTTCATTTTGGAGAGATCACTCAAGTGTAGAGCATGGGCTGGTTGGAACTGGGAGACCAGCCAGAACCTTTCAATAACAGGAGGGAGGCTGGAAAAGCTTCACATCAACACAGTGAGGGTGGGTGAAGAGACGCGGACAGGAGTTATTGCCATCCGATGTGGGAGTGAGACAACTGAGGGGTTGCCTGAGCACTGTCAGAAGGGCTGCTGCTTCCCTGCTCCACTGCTTCTGAGAAGAAGGACCTTTCCTGGAACAGTCCTGGCCTTTCGCTCAGCCCTGGTTCTTATCCCAAGAGAGAGCGGGCTCCTAGCTATTGGGCAGCACCCAGTCGTCAGGCTGAAGTTCATGTATGTGGAAGGGTCTAGACATTTCCTTCTCCCTCTTGCCTCTTGGCCACTGAGAGGCAATGGCCTGGGTTCTTGCTGCACCTCTGACTCCCTTGGGTGGGCTACACTTGGAAGCAGGACCCAGGGAAGCCCATTCTCCCAAGCTCTGGTCTCCAAAGTACTGCTTTCCAGTAATAAAGGCAATACTTGGGACTCTGCTGACTTCTCTTTTCTTTTCTTTTTTTTTTTTTTTTGGAGAGGTTTTTGCAATAGGGCGCGTGCGCTCGCCAGACAGAGAGAGACAGAGAGACAGAAAGCAAGAAATCACCTCCCAGGGGGGATGGCCACACCGTAATCCCTTCTCCTCTATTCTCCTCTCGGGATCTTGAGCACACACGCACATGCACCTGGTGTGAGTTTTAAGCCACAGGGTCCAGGACACGAACCGTGGTCGACTACATGGGAGCCAGTGACATAGACATTACTCTAATTGCTGGTCCCCCTGACCTTTCTTTTTAACCTAACTTCTCAGTTCAGAGCTCAGTCAGGAGCTGATATACCTATGAGACGTACAAAAGGAGCTGTCTGGGGCAGGCAGTGGACTGATCTGTCGAAGGTAGACAGTTGGCACTCAGGAGAGGACGAGCTAGAGACAAAGGGCCTTGAAGCCACAGGTGATGAAAAGACCCCGGGAAATAGGAAAAGTAATACTTCCAACCCTGCCTATGTCAGCACCCAAGTTACTCTTAAATTACCTGGCTCTGCAGGTCTGGGCTGCTGACGGGGTCTACTCTCCAAAATAAGCTCAAGCATGATTCTGATGCTCGCTGACCAGGACTGTGAACCCTGGTGAGTGTAGTTGGTTCGAGGACAGAGGCTCAGAACCCACCAGCACTGAAAGAGACATTTGTGTGTCTGAGTTTGTCAGGAATTATTGATCAGAAGCTACTTGATAATGATCTATGACTAGTGATACTCACAGAACAGGCTTCCTGGGTGATAAACACAGGGCTGGGATGATACACAATCGTGTTGCAGAAAAGACAAGCTCATTTCAAGTTATAAGATGATGTTTAACAGAAACACATTGAAAATCATTGTGCATTCTGGATCACACAATGAACTTTTCTTTCTCTTCCCCATTTCAGCCCGAAAGGGATGGCCATTCTCTGGAAGTTCCATGTGGCCTGCATTTCCAATACTGTTTGATTTGATATGGCCTTGGAATGAAAGGGAAAGGGCCATTACATAGTAGGTCAATCAGTGGAAAGGATCATAGCAAATTCATCTGAGTCCATCTTCAGACACTCAGGAAAAAAAAATACAATGCTTTGATCTTTACTTTAAAGAACTTAATTTAATTCAGATCCCTGATGAAAGTATCAAAATGGGGTTGCACTTATACTCCTTCAATGCATACATGTGAGTGTGGGAAAATACCTTGAGCACTGTCTCAGTTTCCTCGCCAATGAATAAGAATAACAGTAAGAGTTGTCTTAAAAGCCTTTCTGAGGATTGAGATATGTGTAAAGCACTTAACATAGTGCTCTGGGCATATGACCAATATTCAATAAAATCAGCTTAAAAAGTTTTACGCCTTGGCCAGCTGCTGGCATGGTGGCTAAGGTGACCGAATCCCACATGGCTGTCGACACGGTTCAAGTCCTGGACCTGGTGGCTTGAAATACATACCGTGAGAGGTGGTATAGTGGTTAAAAAGCGGAACTCCTACATGACTGACCACGGTTCGGGTCCTGGATCTGGCATCTTGAAATCACACCAGGAGCATGTCTGTTTGTACCCAGGATTTCAGAAGAAGAAAGGAAGAGAAGGGATTATGGCATGGCCATCCCCTCTGGGCGGTGATTTCTCACTTTCCCTCTCACCATCTCTCTCTGCCTCTCTCCAGTGAGTACACACTCACTCTGACAAAACCTTAAAAAAAAAAAGAAGAAGAAAAACATGCCATACGCATGTGTATGCATGCCCCAAATCCTGACGGGAGGAAGAAATAAAGAAGGGATTGCAGTGTGGTCATCTCCCATGGGGGTTGCCTTCTCACTTTCTTTCTCTCTCTTTTTCTCTCTGTCTCTCCCTGGTGAACTCAGGGACTCTAGGACACTGAGGAAGAAAAAGTTGAAACCAGTCCAGATGTTTGTGAATCAGTAACACAGCTGGACCCACCTGGGAAAGGTCGTAATGTTCATGTCTGAGAACTTCCCTGAGCATGCTGGCTGTGTGTGTGGATGTCATGATCCCGGCCCGCTGAGAGTTGCGGCATAAAGACCCTATTGGAGGTGCCCGTCTCTTTCTCTGACAGAAGAAATAAATAAATGAAATGTTTAAATAGTTTAACTAAATAGCACTGGTATTTACAAACAGTGCCAGCTTAGCATCCAGTGTATCCGAAATGGGAGTATCAAAATATGATTGAAACTTAATCATACTCCTTAGGTCTCTGAGAATGAGAGAATTTTCATAAGCTGGGAAATAGGCCACACGTATGATAGACCATACTCCTTGGCTATATGAAAAATCAACTTCAAAGATTGCTTCGAACATTTACTTCCCCAAGAGCTTATTTGAGACATGGCTAGGCCTCATGGGTGGCAACACAGCACAGCTTGGGAAGCACCAGTTTGGTTTTGTGAAGGGAAGAAATAATACCAAGGCCTTATGTTATGGACTGAATTGTGTCCTTCAAAACACGCATGATAAAGCTCTAATTCCCAATGCAACTGTGTTTGGAGACAGGATCTGGAAGGAAGTAATTGAGGTTCAATGAGGTCTTAGCGGCCCTGATTCGCTAGGATAGGTGTCCCTGTAAGAAAAGATACTAGAGCATGCATGCACACTCTCTCTGTGCAGAGAAAGGTTGTATGAGGACACAGCAACAAGGTGGCCCCCTGCAAGTATTTCAGTGAATCAGTTATCCATCCATCAATTCAATAAAGAGTATCTGCTTTGTGATGGGCAAAGTGCTAAGTGCTAAGGATACAAAGATAACCAAACTGACTGACTCATAGGAACAGACAACTTAGTGAAAGGACAAATGTATGTATCATTTAAATAAATGGCATGATCTAAGATATACTTGAAATGCCATAGGAGCAGAGAGGTCACCTAGATAATAGGATAGGATTGTGGTAACACTCGTCCAAACTGGGACTCAAAAAAGAGGAGACGTTTAGGGAAGGAGGGTAATGAGTTGGGTTTGTTGTGATGTGTTTGAAGTGTGCATATAACAGTCCAGAGGCAGTTGAATGAGTGGGTCTACAACTAAAGCAAAAAGTCAAGGTTAGAGACCCATATTTGATGGCCATTAACCCACAAGTGGTAGTTGGTGGGCAGGGGTGATTTTGCTGTGGAAGAGCATATAATGTTAAGAGATGCTGTGAAACACCAATATTTAAAGGAAAGGAAGAAGAAGAGAGGCCAAAAAGGAAGACAGAGAAGAAATAGGTAATAGATGAACCAGATGAGAATGAGCAGGATTAGAAAAATCGAGATAAAATTTTCAAGATAGTTGCAATACTTTGAAAATATGAGTTTAATGACAGGTAGCAAATATTCCACAAAAGGACTGCCCTATTTTCAAAAAATTTGCACAGTGTCTTACACATATGTCGAAAGTTTGAGAAAATAAATTAGAACATTATATTGCACACTTTATGCTAAAACTATCAAGCACAATATCGCTTTTAGACAGTTCAAAAGGCACTTGGGGATATTTTTCTCAGTGCCTCAGAGCATCATTATGAAATCCAATTATAGTTGCTCTGGTCAGCTGTGGGAGTCCTGATACGTGTAAAGTTAGTTAACTGACTGCTGGATAAAGCAGCCTTCACCCTGGACAGCAGCGGCAGAGCAGCAGTGTTCAGATCCAGCTTGGCCTGCAAAACCAGCTGACCCTATCAGAGACATGAACCCCCAGAAAAACGAAACGCCCTTAATCCTTTCAGTATCTCCACTACCTTCCATCGCCACTGGATATGCAAGACTTGTCACCTAGGAAGAAGCTCAAAGAGTAAATGAACCTCCCCATCCTAGTTTCCTAATAGACTAAAGACACCTGTACACACGTTTCAAGGCTTCTCAGTAGCCGTCCAAAGGCTTGGATCTGAGTTCATAATAGACTGACCCAAATTTAAAATCATAAGTTTAGTAGATCCAAGAGAAACTGATTTATAAACCGGTTTCCAACACTAAGCCTTCCCTAAAAGTGACCCTTTTGGCTTGAGGAGGGATCCCAACTGATCTTCTAGGTACTGGGACTATGAATTAGTCATGTTTTCCCTGGGTTCTGAGTCTAACATCCTTCCATGCTTGTGAGTTACTAAGCTGTCCTTCAATGACCGTCACAGTCAAACACAAGAAAACTTGTGCAGAGGTTTTAGGGGATTTTTCTCCCCAGACTGCCGTATTCTGGCAGTGCCATGACCCTGATGATTTGGCAAAGAACAAGAACGGTTCCATGACGGTCAAGACAGTCAGGATGGGAGTAACTGCCCTCTTGCCCCTGCTAAGATTGGGTTTGGAAAGGCTTTTGCGGAGTCGTACTGCTCTTGACTGGAAGGGAGTGGGAAAAGAGATGTTGGAAAGGGAGCAGAGCTGGCGGGTGTAGGGCAGAGCTGCTTGCTGCTGCCTTGTGCTGTCTGGACAGTAGTGAGTAGCTGTGCTTCTGTTTTCATCTGCATCACTTGAAGTGGGAGCTATTCATCGTCGTCATCATCATCGCTATCATCATTATCCTCATCAGAATTATTGTCATCATCATCATTGTCATCATCTTCATCATCTTCATCTTCAACATCATCGTCTTCGGTGTTTATCTTTCCAGAAAGCACATCTTCGATCCAATCTTCCAGCTCCTCAGCAGTGGGTAGGTCATCGTCATCTGGAATCTCCATCCAGACACTGTCAGCCTGCAGTGAGGGAGGGAGAGAGAGAGAGAGAGAGAGCGAGAGCCTGGAGTGTAAGCCCCACCAGAGAGTTCTATGTAGCTGTGCTGAGTGGGTCCCCAGGTCTCTTACACTCATCTGGAGTGTGTGCACAAGGGGACCGTGTGGTAATGCAATAGTGCAAGGCTGACCCACGTGGGAAGTTTCCAGGTTTGGATCTGGAGGCCTCCCTGAATGCACTGGGCACACACGCACCCGTAATCCAGGACTGGCTGAGGCTGGGGGCAAATTGTAGCATGGGGACCTTGTTGGGGGCTCCTTTCTCTCTCTCCTCTTTTTCTCTCTAATGGAAGAAAGAAAGAAACTTTGTGGGCACGTTGTTAAGTGGAAATGCCAAGTGTCAGAATGGTCTGTGTAGTATCTTGTTTATGTAACATAAAAATTACATACCAGCAGGAGGTAGTTCTATACCAGCAGGTGGTGTGGTGGTTAAAGCACTGGATCCCGCATGGCCAATTATGTAGTTTGAGTCCTGGACCCGGCAGCTTGAAAAACATGCTGTATGTGTGTGCATGCATGCCCAAAATCCCAGGAGGAGAAAGGGGGAGAAGAGGTTGCGGTGTGGCCATCTCCCTTGGGGGCTGATTTCTTACTTTCCCTCTATCTCTGTCTCTCTCTCTGTTCTATGGTGAGCACATGTGTCATAGGACATAGATATATATATATATATATATACATATATATTCCATTACCCAGTGGAATATATATATGAAAATTCTGGTAGGATATTCATGCTACAACCACTAATAGTTCCCTCAGAGAATGGGACTAAAGAAGAGGTCAGGACCGTGGGAAAAACTTTCCTTTTTCACCTTATATCCTAATGTTCTATTTTAAAATGTTTTAACTTCAGCATGATTTTAAATGTTATTATCATTAAACTTATTTATTTATGTATTATTTAGAGAAATTTTTGCTATAGGGCATGTGTGCTTGCTGAAGACACAGAGAGTGACAGAGAAACAGAAAGCAAGAAATTAGCCCCTGGGAAGGTGGCCATGCCTCAGTCCCTTCTCCAGTCTCCTCTCGGAATTTTGAGCACACCCTGCATGAGTTTTAAGCTGTCAGGTCTGGGACTTGAACCATGGTTAACTACATGGAAGTCCAGAAATGTAACCATTACACCAACTGCTGGTCCCTATTATCATTGACTTTAAAAGTAGTTTGCAAAATAAATGAGTATGGAACACTGGCAACAAGGTGAAGGACATTGCTAACTGGTCCCTGTTCACAGGCGATTCCTCCATGGTGAATTATGGTTCTAACAGGTCTTCTGTGATCACCCCTCTCTGTCCACTGCATGGTGATATTCTTTCCCACTTCTGCTTTGTTATGGTGTAGTTGCATCAGATATCTGAACCGAGGCCTAATGTTTCTCGTGTCCTGCCAGTCTCCCTTGCTCGCCTTTCCCTCCTACCTTTCAATGGCACCTGCATTGTGAAGAGAATCCCCTTACTCTTGTTTAATGTCCTCCCTTCCCTTCTGTAGGCCTGATCTCCTGGCAGTAGGGTAGTTGCCTGCATGGGCTTCTGGGCCAAAACGGTCCCAGCAGCCATTGTGCAGTGACAACCACAAGTGCACATTCCTCTGTTGCTTGGCTTCGGGATAAACACAGGAGTTTATTTGGGTAGAAAGTTCCACATCTGTGAGTCAGGTCCATAGGGCCCCATAAGCAAGGAAATGTGCCCACGGAAGAGAGCCAAGGAACTGCAGGTTGTGCCTGGCTCAGAGACCAGGTGTAGGCCACGCTGGCAAATCTCCTGCAGACCTTGCCCTGCCCATTTCTGAAGGGGCTCGTCAGAAATGATCTGACGGCCTGGGCTGCGTAGAGGACACAGAGCAGGTTGAGTGCTGTGGTTTAAATGCCCCACCCCCATTCATGCTTGACATTTTGTTGTGACAAGATGAGGAAGGTGAAAAATGAATCCAACTATAGTTTTGAAAAGTGAGACTTTTGAGAGGAGATAATGATTTGTGTCACTAGGGCAGGCACTTCATGATTAACTCCTGGTGGGTTTACAAGGAGAGGAACTGAGACCAGAACAGAGACACACGGGCACAGATGCATACTCTCTCACCCTGTAATGTCATAATGCAGCCAAAAGATCCTCACCAGATGTGGCCCCTGGAGCTCACGTAGCCACAGTGTGAGCTAAATAAACCTCCATTCTCTTAAATTACCCAGACTCAGGCATTTTCTGCTAGTAGCACAGAACAGACTGGAACACTGAGAATGCCTGAGCAAGCCTTCCTGGGGCATACTCACATCAGTCACATTCACCACCCCGATCTGTGGCTTGAATAAGTTAATCTTGAAAGTCTTCTCCCAGTAGGCAACAAGCTGCAGCAATGAAAATGAAGATTAGACTGTAGGCAGAGGGCATTCCCTAGTAAAGCCACTATTTGTGACCGGACCTACCTGCTATCCCATCATACTAACTAGGACACCATTGGTTAAAGGTCTTCAAAACTGCCGTGGGCAGTTAGAAAAGTGAAGATTTGGTCCCAGCCCTCAAGCACATTAAATAAGCAGCAAATAAAAGTTACCCTAACATAAACTCTGAAAACATGTAATATAAAATCTTTCACAGTGGTGCTATGGTTTGAATGTGTCCCCCAGAGTCCATGTGTTGGACACATAACCTCCGGTGTAATTGCTGATGTACTGAGAGAGGAGACCTTTAAGAGGTGATTATGTCATGAAGGCTCTGCTTTCCTGAAGGAAATTGATACAGGAATGGGCTTTTTATGAAGGATGAGTCCAGCTTTCTTTCCTCTCTCTCTCTCACGAGCTCTCTCGCCCTATGATGCCTTCTCCCATGTGCTCATGCAGCAGGGAGACCCTCCCCAGCTGTGGGCCTGGCTCATGGACTTCCCAACTCTCATACCTGTGAGCTAAATGACTTCTATTGTTTCTAAGGTACCAGTCTGTGGTATTCCAAAACTACAGCACAGAGTACTTCAGAGCACCGAGTCCAGATTATTTGTAGCTCTTTTATAGTTCACTGGTGGTAAGAGAGCCAGCTCCCTCTCCCACTCTCCCAATGTACCATTTAACAATCCCTGATCTTGAGCCACTCTGCCACATGACATGGCCGGGAAAGCAGTGATGTATCATAACTGGCCTACAAGTACGAGGAGGGCATCTTCGTTCAGTCAGGCTTGGGCTCTGTGTGGACAAATCTCTGAGTTGAGCAGGACTAAAGGAGACAAGGGTGCTGTCAGGCTAAGTAAATGGAGATGGTCAGTGATAGAAAGACTCTCAGTCAGTCAAATATATGGCCTGATGGGGGCTAGCGCTATTCAATGATCCGGAAATCAGAGTAGTCTGAAGTTTTCTCCTTTGCAAAAACCAAGGCAAACATAGAACTGGCCAGGAGAACTGCAGACCATCTGCAAGCTGGTCCAGCATGCTACAATGACAGCCATGCAGAAACTAAATAAACACAGCCATACTATATGGGGCATATGGCCACAGTTCTGGTATAGCTACTCTCAGTTCGACACTGGCCTCACGCATTACGGAAGTCTCCTTGGATTCACCCACCCTCTACATGGGACTGGGTTTCTGAATCTTCGAGAGCACTAAATTCAATTTTCTCTGTTTAGGCATATTATCAGTCATGACCTATGCAACTAATGATAATTCCTAGGAGATAAAGTTATCATTTGTAACCTAATGATCACTTTCGCTGATTCACAGCAGTTAGCTCTTACCCAAAGCAGTCTATAGATCAGCCTTTGACATCACGTAGACCTAGTTGGTCTATCACATTCTAGCTTTTACTTCTCTGGCATTGTCTTTTTGTGCATATGGTAGGGATTATAATAAATAGTACCTACTTCATAAAGTGTTGAGAGGATTAGCTGTGATGAAGCATGTGAAGAATTTAGTACTGTTCCAGACATAGAGTATATTAGCTACATTCTATCTCATTTATCATTGGGTTCAATTCATGAATTATATAAAATCTGTGTATTCTTTTCAAAACTAAGCATACTCAAAGCTTTCTTCCCATTTATATTGATACTGGCAAGATTTTGGGCTTTAAGATTCCTGCACATTCGCTATATGCCAGGTCCTGAAGGGAACATGACAGATAAGATCTTGGCCTTCAGAAAGGTTACTCCCTCTCTCCACAAAGTTCTTTGCTCTATGCAAGTATGTTCATCTCTATTTTTATCCTTTTATTACTGAGTATTCAGGTTGCCTTGGAATGACGGTCCACATCCAGAAAATAGAAGAGGTTATAGGGAGGGGTAGTGAGATGAGGGGCTGCTACGGAGCTGCTGGAAGAAGGTATTCACCCAACTCACTTGAGTAGGCCTCCTGGAAGGTCCGGCCTCTGACTCCAAGGAGTGAGAACAGGAAGTCTAACCATTTCAGTGTCAGCACCAGACCATAAGGTTAATGCTGTCTGAAAAAACAAGCTCTCCCTTACTGTGTGGGGATAGCCCACTGTGTGGGCTTCTGCATGTGCCCCTACTGTCTTGTGCCCACCTTCATGCTTGAGGGTCTTAATACTAAACACAAACATGCGGTTGTGAAGACACCAGGGAAGGGGCCCTTGCCTGAGCTACTCACCAGAGGGAAGTCGTCCGGGTCGATCCACACAATGCTCAGGTCAGGGTTGTCAGTGTTGTCCCGGGCCACCTGCTTCAGGATCTCCAGGAACTCATAGCCATCTGAAGAAGGGTTCAAGAAGGTTGAGTAACCCCTACCTACACATGGCTTCTAATGTGGGATACATAGAGGCGGTGTTTCCATGGGAGTTTCTTAGGCTGTCTGGGACATACCCTCAATTTATAGGATTATTCTATAAAATGAGTCAGATGACAGTTCTGCCACAAAGCAGCTTATACAAAGGAAACAATAAACATTTTGAATGAAGAAATAAAAAGTTCACGGGGAACTGGTTGGCTTTTCACTGGAAGGCAAGCTGCATTTGTTCGTCTATATGGGAAAACTGGCCAGCCTTGAGTTAGAAAAGAGTCTGAGGGCAGAGCGCCTCCTGCCTGTGCTCACTGCTCCCGTGCTACCTCTTCAAACAGAATACGCGCCATCTCTAAGAATTCCCCTTAGTGCTTGCTCTGCGGACCGGGAACATTTAAGCCTGAATCCTGTTTTCTACCACCTGGAATTCCTAAAACTTTTAGACTAAGCGAACTTAATTCACAGTTGGTCCCATAGCTCCGAGATAGCTAACGGGGTTTCCCTTCCTTCCTGCATCTCGACATTCGTTGCCCCCAGGGGAGGGATGATTCATAAAGAAAGCAGAGACAAGTCTTATAAGCTTTAAGAACACAAGTGTTTGAGCTTTAAAGACTGGGAGCATACAATTTTTGTCAAAAGGAGAAATTGTGGAAGAACATTTAGTAAGAGATAGCATAGTCTAGACCCTGGGCACCGCTATCCTAATCCCAGTGAAAAACAGAGAAGAGTCTAGGTTCTGGCAGGTTCCTGAGGATAAACTCACGTGTCTGTGTGTGTGCACGTGTGTGTTTATTTGTGTGCAGGAGCACAGCCAGGCATGGCCGCATACACAATCTCCACAGTTTTATAGAATACCAGAGTATAAGAGACCTGGCCTCATCTCAGAATGAAACTCAGGAAAATGGAAAGATGCCAGAATCCCTTAGAGGGCCCCATGTGTGGGAGCACTAGGACAGAGAAGTCTGGCAGGAGGTCCCATGGGGTCATCTGGGCATCCAAAGAACATGGCAGAGCTGAGAGGGGAGTCCGATCTGAGGATGTCCTGTGGCTGAGGTGGAGCAGACCGGTGGGGGACCTGCTTGAAACAAGACCAGGACTCAGACACAATGACAGATTTCCCTGTAGATGACAGTGTGTCCTGTGTCCATGACCCCCACCAGATGCCCACCAAAGCCCGCTGTGCCTGGAACCCAGGAAGACTCTAGATCCCTTGGGATGGTAAGGTGGGGACGGAAGGCCTTTTGTTGTCAGATCCAGTTTCCACCATTGTGGTATTCTATTTTCAAAATGGAAATTTAGGTTCAGTTCTAAACAACAGAGATACATTCCTTACATAGCTAAATTGGTGGCCTGAAATGTACGCTTTGTGTACACACAGCTCACCAATGGCGATTTGGAGTGGCGATTGCCCTTCCTTTGCAGTTTTTCTTCTCCTGCCTGGGGTCCCCTAAATTTGAGCTCCTCTCTGTGACCTCTGGTTAACAATCCCCTCCTCTCCTGGCACGTAAATCTTTTGGCTATTTCAGCCTCTTGGTGAAGTTTCTTCTCTGCCCTTTGTCATCTCTACTACATTCCAAGCAAAATGCAGCCGATTCTTAGCTGTGAGTTGGGATAATCACTAGGGCTGCTAACTCCTGCTCGACATTTAGACTGAGCCCCCCTAAGCATTATTGCCCAGAAAGCATAGCGCCCTCTAGTGGTGCAGATCATCCTGGCATGCAGTCCCTTCCTGCAGAGATACAGGGTTGGCCTGGGTAATTTTCGACCTATGTTTGTAATTCTATTGCAAGGGAGGTTATATGATAGATGCCAGAGATCGACAGAGTTCATTTGCTTATTGTCAAGGGGATGGGAGTAGAGAAGGAGGTGAGATTACTATTTCTGCAGCTTGCAGATGTGGTTGAGAAGGTCAAGCCCCTCCAGAGATATGGGCTGCCGTGTGTGGACACCGTGGCTCCTCCTCTGGCCATGTGACTGTGGGACAGGAGATGGAAATACGCTGTTCCCTTTGTCATCTGTGGATTTATGGATTGTGATACACAGACCACAAGGGGGAATCCTCCAAGACACCTGCAGTCCCGCTGGCAGCCGCAGAGAAGGAAGGAATGATAACACGTGAGATGAGGCTGCCAGCAGTGGGGAAGATGAGAATCAGATATAGAGACCTGGACAAGACTGAAATTCATGAAGAGGACAAAATTCAGTAACACGGGCTCAAATTCAAATAGAAAGTAAACTTGAGACAAAAAAAAAAAAGAAAAAAAAAGTGATCGCATAAAGGAAAAGAAGAGACTGTTCAGGCACAAGCTCTGTAGAGGGATGAAAACCCCAGCCTAGCACACAGCTGTAGTTTTCCAATGGCGTGGGGTGGAGGGATACATAATGTTGGGATTTATAAGAAAGGAATGTCGTGTACAAGAACATACATGCTACATTCCCATTTTATATTCTAGAACAGGTTTGGAGATTTAAAAAAATCATTTCAGGAATAAAAATTGGATTTTGCAAGAGAAATGAAAGGAAGTAGAGTTTTTATGTAAATAAGAGAAGTCAAAGTGTTGCTCAATGTCCTTTTTAAGAATCTAAAAGTGTTTGTGAGAGAATGTGCCTTGCGCCTACAGAGGAGCAAGGAAAGCTCAGAAATTATTTTCAGGATCAGCAGGTGATGTGGAGGTTAAGATGCTGGATCCCACATGGCTAACTGTGTAGTTCAAGTCCCCTACATGGTACCTTGAGAATCACGCCAAGCGCGTATGTGCCCAATATTTTGAGAGGAGAGTGGAGGAGAAGGAATGGCAAAGAACCACCTGGGAGGTGATTTCTCAGTTTCCCTCTCTCTATGTCACTCTCTCTATCTCTGGTGAGCACATGTATCCTATAGAAAACAAACAAATAAAAAACCCTAACAAAAATTTGCAGGGGACCAGCAGTTGGTATAATGACTATGTTGCTGGACTCCCATGTGTTCTACTGCGGTTTGAGTCCCGGACCCAGGGGCTTGAACTCACGCCAGGCATGTGTGTGTGCATGCCCAAGATCCCAAACGGAGAATGGAGGAGAAGGGATTGTGGCATGGCCACAATTTTTCTTGCTTTCTGTCTCTCTGTCTTTCTGGCAAGCACACGCACCCTATAGCAAAAACCCTCCCCCCCAAAGAAAAAGTTTGCAGAATAAGTTCACAATGCCGACTTTAAAGCTGGAGATGGTTTATCTAGGTCCAAAGGCTAGATGACTGACTTTCAGGGTGATGGATCCTATGTTTATGTCCCTGGACATATTTTTTTTTTAAAAAAAGAATTATTTTATTTAACTTTATTATTTATGTTTAATTTGACCAGAGAGGGACAGAGTGAAAAGAGAGAGAAGAGGAAAGTGAGAAAGCAAGCCACCAGCTCTGGGACTTGAACCATGGTCGGCGATGTGGGAGTGTTCAGCATCCTAACCACCACGCCACCTGCTGGCCCCTCCCTGGACATTTTTAATGACAGAACAGAGTCCCTTCTTCAGAGAGGCAGCTCAGTATGACTCATGCATGGATGAGGAGGCAAATGGCCTTGGTCCAAATACCGGTGTACATAGCATGACTTAGGGCAAGTTATTTAACATCTGGTTTCCTCGTCTGTGAAATGGGCAGGACGACAATCCAGTGCCTGCTTCAAAGGGCAGCCGTGAATTAAAAGAGCCAGTATGTCTGAAGCACTTAGGGCCTGGTTCAGAGGTTTATCCATTACCTTTCCTAAAGGAGCTGACGTTCTTATGTCTAAGCACAAAGAAGCTGGATAGAATTTCCTAAACCTGCCCATTCGTCTGTCCATTTAACACACACATATTAAGTAGAGTGATCTGGGACCCGGAAGTGGGCTAGAGACTCTCAGACTTCCATTTTAGAGAGGATATGCTCACAGAAAACTGTACTGCGGGCAGCACGTCAGCTCCTCTGGTCTCCCATTGCTGGCTGTGTGGCTGGAGGCGTGGGGATGGCTACGCCAGCTGGTGTGACTGAAACCTCTGTCTCAATAACAGGGTTAGCGCAAGTGTTAACTCTTTGTAAGGCTCGAGCTCACTCGGATACTCCTGACTCAAGGCTTACAATCCTCAAAGAGGCTCTGTCTTCCATCTCCAGCCTTGAGTATAGACCTGTCTGGAGGATTCTCACTCATCTGGGAAAACCAAGTTAAAGCAGCTTAACTAGTCTCACATCTATACAGTGGCTAAAATGGTTAAGTTACAAGTTTAACTTCCTCCTAAGGAGAGCTTCTGTTTCTTTGTAAGACAGGCAGGTGCCCCAGCAAAGGCAAACACCCACTGTAGCTCGGTGACCGGGAAGGCAGGTAGACTTTTGCAATTCAGTGTTAAGCAGAAGACTGGTTCATAGTTGGAATTACATGATTGAGTTTAAAATGGATAAATGTTCCCTTTTAAGATTGTTACAGAAGGAATAACCCAAAATCCAAAAAAGAAAAAAGAAAAAAGTAGGAAGAGAAAAAATAAGGAATATTTTCAGAAATGTATAGGCTGAAAGTTATTTAGACACAGCACCTAGAGGACTTTCTCTGTGGTTAGTAGAAAAGTACCACTTCTCTAAGCCAAAAAAGAGTCTCCAACATTTTTCATATCCAGACAGGTAAGTAGCTCCCACCTAAAACATTTGTCTGTTTTTTCTCTTGTCCGTGTCTAGATCTGAGACCCTCTGACCTTTCTAAAGACAGACTATAGAGCTGACCATCCTAACAGTCAAGAATCTTTCCTTTGCATCCACCTGAAATTTCCTTTTTTTCATAAGAAATTCATTTCCCAGTTTCTTCCTTTGAGAACATAAGACATTGTTCCTTAAAGGCAGGAAGCCTATCATCATGCCATTCTAAACTGTTTTGAGTATTTATGGGGTTCTTACTGGGTACTGAGTACTTTTGCAGTTAATCTTCACATCTAATCTTAATGAAGGATCAGACCATTTTAAAGATGGCATTGA